CTCTAGGATAGTTAAAGACTTCCTAAGAACAATTCTCTCACACAAAGCAGACAAACCCAGCTGAACGGATCCTGTAATCGTTATGTGCTGCAGCTGGGATCTACTTTTAACATTTAATCCATAAAACCAACAAGTTTATCATCAATCAATGTACCCAAATACTTATATGAACTGACCTTCTCAACCTCTTTACCAGCAATAACTAACTACTTTAGATGGAGTTCCGACAGAATTATAAAATTATATCCTTAGTTTTGGATACATTAATTTGTAAATTAAATTTGTAGAACCACTTTTATCAGCAATAAATTGAAGTAATTGTTTTCTTATGACTTTTTCAGTTTCTCAATGAACAAATGAGGTAAAAGGGTTTTCACACATGATCATTGGTAAATGAGTGTGGCATTTAAATGGCAGATTTTCAAATGTAACACAAGAGGTGTTTGTTTTGAATGATGGGTTTAATGTAGAGAACTGTGCGGTTTTAAGACTTGGTCTGAATATTACAGTAGGTATATGAGGGAATGTGTTTACTGAGCAGGCCTCAAGTAGGAGCACTTTTAGTGACCACTTTCACTTTTAACTGTAATCAAAAAACAGTTTCCACAAAATATTTAGCAGCACAACTGTTTTCAACATTGATAATAATAAGAAATGTTTCTTGAGCACCAAATCAACATATTAGAATGATTTCTGAAGGATTAAGTGACACTGAACCCTGGAATACCTGGACTTTCCACTTATCACACTACTTTTGTAATTTATTATGGATTTATGCAAGCTATATAATCTATTTAGTCTTTAATAAAAGAGTCCAAAGTTTATTGTGATTACTTCTCTAAATGTAAATGTCAAAGTAAGTGGAAGCTGGGGAGGTTTCAGTGTGATTTTACTGACCCTGACTATTTGTTGTTTTGAACATGATTTATTACTAAATCGGCCATTCATGCTAATACATGGCACACAGAAAATGGGCATGAATCATTATTGTTAGAGATTGGCCACAAACACAAAAGACATCATCAGCATTCAGTCATTCTTACCGACACACATACTGCTCACATAGACAGAATAGACAGAATGCCAGTGCACCGCAAAAAAATAGAAAGCTTGGGTTTGTTTGTGTGTGTGAGGAAAGAGTGGGCAGCGTCTGGAATGGAATGAAGAGAGGGGGTTGGAGCAAAGCCAGTGTTTCATATGGATGAGAGTCTGACATACAAGAGAGATTAGAGAGAAACATTTTAAAAAGAGCTCTAGTCTGTTGTCATGTGAGTACTGTAGGTTCTCATGAGAACTGAAATCATGTGCCAAAATGAGCACTCCTGCCCCCTTGTGGTGAACATTGAAATCAGAAGACTTATTTTCCCCGTTTTATCCCACTTCTAAATATCTTAAATGTAAAAAAAAATCTTATTAATATGAAAAATAAAAAAAATATTTGGATTATTTTATGTCAAAAATAAATTAATGAACACTTTTGTATGGTTAACATCTGCAGTGGCAACATCATAAAACACGTTTTAATGAAAAGCAGAAGCCATCTGCTTCAGGAGCTCAATGACAGCTTGGTGTGTCACAGGAGATGAGCGTTTCAGGTCTCAAATATAGGACAGCGCTCCGTGTAACATGCTGTGTAAGTACTGGCAAAAAACTAACACAACACACTGAATGATTCCTACTGTCTTGTATGATAAGAGCTTGACCCAAGAGTTGAATTTCAATGACAGTGAGCCCTGGGATGACAAGATTTATAATGATTTAATAATGGCTAAATAATGACTTGTCTTTTATAAACCAAGAGTGGGCTGCATAATAGGAGGCAAAGGCAATATTTGCATTGACTGCAATAATACTGACCTTATTCTAAATAAGACACTCAATTCTTTCATTTATATTGCCATTCACATTTGGGGTTTTTGAGTAATAAATGCTGTGAATTGTTTATACCCAACTCTCAGTTTGAAAGTAGTTAATAGCTGGAGTCTTGCAGTCCATGTCCATGTCCTTTGAGGGCCAGAACTGGAATACCAAAATTTGAACAAATAGCACCGTTCTGTCAGGACCACTATTGTCAAATACGATTGACAATTAGCCTACAGTTTGGATTGGCGGTATGGTTCAGTTCTGGGCGAGAACTCCCTGTGCTTCCATGAATAAGAGCAGGGAGAGCAGCAATAAACCCCCTTAGGGTAAACAGAACAGAACCAACATGAATGTATGCAGATAAAATTAATTCAAGATTTTAAAAAGTACAACATATTTCGAGAATTTAGTCTGATTCAAGGGGAATCAGAATGCCAATTCCTGATTGGGCGAGAGGATGAGCTGGGGATGGAGGAGGGTATTTAGCTCCTGAGAACCACGATAGCTGCTGATAATACTGAAGGATCTTATAGGCATTGTATTCCTATAGGTAGATGTGGATTAGCCGAGCGTCTGATGTGCCCTTGACTAACGTGACCAGCCAGAACTAATGCAACGCATGATTTATGCAAACGTAATACATAAAATCATGCTCCATGCAGTACCATCTCATCTAGCCTGGTTCAGCACTCATTTAATTAGAAGTATGAACAGATCTATGTGATTCAAGCCAAAGACTATTACCACCCATTAGACAGCTCAATGTTCAGGTCAAAGACATCTTTAGGGATAAGAGAGATTTGACCTATCTGAAGCAAAGCAGTGACCCACATAAGATAACACAAACTAAACAATCCACAAAACAACTGTTCTTTGACTCACTCCAGTCCAAATGCAATCATTTCAGGTCTCAACAATAAGGATTGCCTGAACAGCATGATCATTTCACACCAGCTGACAGAGCTGTCTTTTGTCTCATCAGGCCAGTGCTGGATTCTCACTATACTCTTAATAATCTTCAAATTTGAAGCTGCAGTCCATAGCTTTTTTGGGGGGTTAAAAATGATCCAAAATACATAACCAGCCAGTGTTCAAAACTATCTGCTTGCCTTAACTCGATTCAAAGTGGTAAGCCTGTAATAATGTTTTTAACTTCAGTGGTACTGGTGGATTTCCGCGAAAAATTCGAGCATTTCTTTGCGTCATTACGTCACATCTGTACACATAAACGTCGAGTATCGGCTATATTGCGTGTGAGGATGCTGGAGGTGGAGATTTATAGCCTTTTCTCACAGCACTTGATATAACTAAACTTATCAATTTGATGACGGATCCAGAAAGGTTCAAACAACAAATCACCAGTGACAGCAGATTCACCCGCTGTAAAATGCAAAAAAAATCGTTCGGACTTCGGAGTGACTACAACCGCATCCGGCCCATGCGAAAACAAGGATACATATCGGAAGGGCATTACATACAGTCACACAATGCTTGCTTACGTTGTTAACATTAACAATTTGAGAATAACGTATAATTTGCACTGTTTTGCCTGATATGACAAGCGATTTTTAAATTTAATCAGCGCAATTTACTGCAATGTCAGAACCAGTACAAAAGTGGATGTTTCTTACTAGTTCAGATGACATTTTCCGGTGAAAATTCTCGTTGGTCATACTTCCAAAAAGAATAATCTGTGATTCTGAATGATAATATCCACACGGCGCAGTGACTGACAGCCTCACACTCTCCTCAAATATTGTGTTCATCCACGCTGTGCCGTGTCGAGGGTGTTGAAGTACAACTCACGTAAAGTTGATAATTCCACGAATGACTGCAATTGCAGATTTCGAACAGAGTGCGACAAAGACGAAAAACACCGGACTGCAGCTTTAAATATTTGGTTTTCTATGTTATATTGACCATTGCAACTCAATGTTATCCAGATGCTGGCTAACACACAGAAGATTAAGTTTTTTCAAAATGTTTAATTGTTTTGGAATTTAGACTGGGTTGAAATTGAAAATGATAAATCATGGATCATGTCATGGCTTTGTTAGTTCTACTATTTTTGTTATTTATTGTACTTTATTATTCTTTTAATTCTTGCGACTTTTATATAAACATACACATGGCAATTTAATATGTAATTTATTTATTTCACATATGCTGTACTTTAAAGTTGGTGTTATTTTTTGGTTAACTATTGTTGTCGTATTATTATAACAGTAATTGTTTAAACAGGCCTTTTTTTAAAAAAAAAAATCTGTCATTGTTTTATTAAAAAAGGGTTATAGCTTGTAATTACCAGTTCTTATTGCTTAAAATGAAATAATTACATTTTCCTTATATCTTATATTATTAATTCAAAGATTTGTTATATAATTACATTGACTTAAAACTACAGTACTTGTAAACAAAACTTAATTTTACTTTTAGTTAATTAAAACTTAACATTTTAAGTTAATTAAAAAAACTTTTTTTGATGGGGCCAGAATAAATTCAATGGCAGGGCAAGAACAAATTTGATTTACTGACCCAGCTGGGCCAATAAATCCTTGTTGTTGAGCCCTACATTTTCCTGCAAGCAAACACCCCCTTTTTTAACTCTGAACTACACACCAACCCTGTAAACATGATGCAAAGCCTCTGTAAGAAGCCCATTCAACTTACCAGACTGATAACAGTGTGTAAGCGGGGCTGTGTGGCCATTGTCTAAAAGCACAAACATTTTCCACTCAAACCCTTTATGCAGCAACTCAATTAGCACAATTAGTTGTCAGTTCAGAGCAAATAGAAGCTTACTGCCTAAAAAATAGAAACCAGAAGAAGATTTCTGCACTGTTTCAGATACAAAGTAACACCATTTTAACCACACAACAAGATGCCATGTTTTCAATATTGTCAGTGAGAGTCCTGATTTGCAACTTTAGCAACTGTAATATGACCTGTTGATGCTAGGAACCTTTATGTGATATGTTGATTATAGCTGAATCATTGAATCATATAGCATGTCCCACTTTATTAAAGGGACAATAATCATTTAAAAGCCCAACACAATTACACAGTTACAACGATCCCTTTCAGCAGAACAATATGAACTCAAAAAACTCAAACTGTGTTAATTAGAGTCTTGTTACCGGACTGATCGTTCATCATTCGGATGGCTTTGGCCTTAGCCAGCTCCAGTGCTGTGACCCATCTCTGCCTCTCCACCTCTGTGCTGGCTTTCAGATGATAGGTGCGCCCCCCGCTGCTCAGAACAATGTTGCAGGCGTCTTCTGTGTCGATGTGCGCTGTGGCCAGGTTGATGGTGCCGCGACACGTGTGGGCCATCTCCGCCTGCGTCCTATTATGAGCGACCAAAATGAGGAGGGAAGCCAGGAAATCAGAGGAAGGGGTTAGTACATGATGGGGAAAAAAGACACATGAGAGAAAAAATAAAGTACAAAGGATTACAAGAAGCACAACATTGTTAAAGGTACAATATGCAGGATTTTTGCATGCAGTAAAATATCCAAAAACCACTAGGCCAACGTTATATATTTTGTTTAGTTGATCTTGATTACTTAAAACATACCAAATGTTTCCAACTATTTGTAAATCGTGTGAAAATTGCGCTTTTAAGGAAGGAAAACGGGAAACGGGGTGTGTGAGCAGGGAGTCGCCAGTCAATGGTGTCATATTCGCGTTACACCCGGTTTCCGCCAGGTTTGATCTCGTACCACAATAGTAATCATGGCGACAGACGTTGACAACTGAGTTATGCCGGTTATGCCTAGAAGGATGCTCACGCTGCCGTTGTTTTGTTCAAACATTATGGACCATGGCAAGCAGACTTTGAGACTAAAACGAAGATCAACATCTTTCGAGATGCAGAGAGCTCCACGTCTGCGACTAACTTCGACTTGACACAGACGCAAGTGTTGCATGTTACTTTATTAGACTGGTGAGCAAATGTACATTAAATAATATATCCTTTTGTAATTGTAAGAGGTTAGCGACCCCTGGTGGCCTAAAATCCTGCATATTGTACCTTTAAATCATTAATGCAAATTTCCAGTGTGGCTAAATGAAGCTGCATTACTTTTTAAGCATATACTGTACGTATGTAGGATAGCTGTACTATGAATGAAATCACAAGTACATTGAATGACATAATGTAAATCATCCAAAGATCAGACGTGTGTAAGAGAGAGAAACACTGAGCACCCATGAGCGTTACGTTACTATATACAGCTGCATACTGAGCGGGCAGAGAATGGAGGTTAACGGCTATTGTGTGTCAGCTGGCCAAACAACAAAACTCAAACAAACCAGCCAGTGTCACAGAGAGAGAGAGAGAGAGAGAGAGAGAGAGAGAGAGAGAGAGAGAGAGAGAGAGAGAGAGAGAGAGAGAGAGAGAGAACAGAGTGTGATGTGACCCCTGATAGAGAGATCAGGAAGAGAACTTACAATCCCATTATGAAACTACAAAAAAAAAAAACTACTGAGGCATATCCTTATGGAAACACAACTTTCCTCAAACAAACAAAAGAAAAGCAGCACAGTATGATAAATGCAGAACTAGCTTTGTTTACTCTATTCCCTAGCATTCGCACATACGATGTTTCTTAGACGTGGCAACGTAATTGGGATTACTTCAGGGAGTCCTATCATCTAGTGTCTACAGAACGAGCCAATGAACGTTGGCCTGCATGAAACGAGTCAAATGACCAGCCCCGCAACACGGGTATAAACAGTGTAGCGTCTGGACCAATCAGACACACACAAATTATTCATTATATTTAATGAATAATCCAGCAAACTCACTATCCCAACAAAGGTCTGTGAGACTTCCCCCAAATCAAGTCAACACACTGGGAGAACTCGTTGTCCTGTTACAGGACACAGTTTTACGACCCAAAAGAATGTGCAGGGAATTATTCTATATATATATATATATATATATATATATAACCATGTGATAAATATCTTGTGATAATATAACATATATCTTATTTTCCATTTTATAATTTTTCCTTTTGTGTGGTTTGGCCTATGTATTCATTCTCTCCTCTAAACTATTTTGGTCAGAGACATGACTTGCATACTATGGTTAACCAAAATCATATGTGTAACATGTTTAATCTATATAAACTCCAATCTTCGTCCCCAATTTGTTCATTTACATTACATTTTGCTAACTTTACGACGCATTAGCATTATAAGAATCTAGAAGATTCTTTTTGTAAACACCCATTGATATTAAACATTCAAATACCCTGCTAGAAAACAAGATGGTCGTAAACAACTCCCTCCAAAGGGGCAGCTTCACATTGGCTCATGCACCTCCAGGGGGTGTGACATCTTCATGCTTTAAAATTCACTGATCATCAAGATCAGCTCTCTCTTGTCCTCTGAGCCCCTTGCGCTCTAAGCCTCTTGCTCTCTGACTCTCTTGGTCCTTCTTGAGAAGATGAAGCTGAACTAGAAGTCCTTCAAGGACTCCCAAGCTTGGGCCAGGCTGCGGCCTTGTCTTTCCTTGCACCAAAGATCCTCTTACTGTCATGGGGCGGATGGATGAACCCAATTGCAGACAGCAAGTAACTCAAAATAAGGTTTTATTAATGACAAAAACAGAAAACAAAACCCACGATGGGGCAAAACAAGAACAGGTAGCAAACACTAAACTAAGACTCAGGCAATAAACTCACAGACAAGACTAGATAGACACTTCTTACAGATGATCAACAGAGAACTTACAGCTAGACTCACACGAGGTTTGATAAGGTAAGAAAGACAATGTACCGACACAGGACAGCAAACACAAGAGGATTAAATAGGGAGAAACTAATGAGGGAAACAGCTGACTCTAACAGGGCAATAATGACTAAACAAGGATAACAAGGGGGCGGGGTTATGAGACAAGACAACGCAAGCACACAGCCCAAACAAATGGCCATGTGCTTACACAGAAAACATGGTTCTGCCATGATCCTGCCACAAGACTAGGAAAAATCAGCGACGTGATGGCAGAATCATGACAGAACCCCCACCTTAAGGAGCGGCTACCAGACGCTCCTCAAATGGACACTAAGCACAAGACAAGACAGAACGAGACATAGACAAAAACCAACAGAACATAGCAAACATCAACATTGGCAAACATGAAAAAACTATAACAGGGTTCGGGTGACACAATAAAAATAACAAACACGGGAGGGGGGGGCGGGGGAACAAAGGAGTTAGAGTTCATGGGGAAGGTCCAGGGTGGATGGGTGGACTAGGGGTCTTGGGCTTACGGGACGAGGGCTGAGGGCGAGGAATCCGGGCAGACTTGGATGGGGACACATGAGGCACAGTCTTAGGGGAGACAGTCCGGGGTGATGTGGTGACAGGGGTGACCGGGGAGACGCACAGGGGCACCGAGGGTGAAGAAACAGGAAACCAGACCGGGGGAACAGCAGGGGACACATCAGGACACATGACTGGGGATGTTGCAGGCGACCGGGGAGTGTTGAGAGGCAATGCTGGGCTCTCGGATTCTGTTTCAGAACCAGCGCTCTCCATAGCAGACTCGGACACATCGTTCTCTGCAGTAGAATTGGTAATTGCGCTCTCTGCTGCTGGCTTGGGAGCAGTGCTCTCTACAGCTCTTGGCACAGGGTCTGGGGACAAGACAGGGACTTCTAAGATCTGGGCAAGACGAGACAGGTATTTGGACAGGGCTCTTGCAGCAATAACAATCGGTATCTCCTGATTAGCTGAAATAGAGCGAATAACAGCCTCAGCAGCAGAGTCGACCGCCTCCCTCTCTGCAGCACTCACAACTGTAGACTCTGTGACGGCGCCTGCTGGAGCGGGCTCTGTGACGGCGCCTGCTGGAGCGGGCTCTGGGACGGCGCCTGCTGGAGCGGGCTCTGTGACGGCGCCTGCTGGAGCGGGCTCTGGACGGCGCCTGCTGGAGCGGGCTCCGTGACGGCGCCTGCTGGAGCGGGCTCTGGGACGGCGCCTGCTGGAGCGGGCTCTGTGACGGCGCCTGCTGGAGCGGGCTCTGTGACGGCGCCTGCTGGAGCGGGCTCTGGGACGGCGCCTGCTGGAGCGGGCTCTGGGACGGCGCCTGCTGGAGGACAAGAGGCTCCCTTCTTCCTCCTCCTCTTCCTTCTGGGTCGCGGAGCTGAGTCCGTAGCCAGGCCAGAGAACGGTAAGGGGGCAAAGAGGGAGACGAAGCAGGTGCTGGGAAGACCACCGCAGGCAAGGGAACTCCGTGGAGGATGACTCCGACGCGGACTCCCACGACAAACGTCTTCCACGCTTTCCACGGGGCTGACGAACACGGGTGGTGGGTTGGGAGTCAGGGTGGAAGAAGCTTGGTCCTCAAGTGTCACGACGGCTAACATGTGACCCTCGGGATGATTGGAAGAGTGGCAGGAGGTGAAGATCCAGTGGGACCTAGCTGTTCCTTACGAGACAGGTAGTCCACCATGCTGCGAAATGGACGGCGGACCAAACTCTCTCGTTCAGCAAGGGGAGGGAGGACCTTGAGACCTGCGACGAGGTAGCGGTTGACCAGGGACTCTGGCAAGAGAAACCTTCTCTCCTCAATGACCTGGGCGTACCTCTTTAGGGTCAACTCACCCTGGGGAGGGAAAGGAAGCTTGCCATTGGCACTGTCAGCAATAGCTGAGCGCCACCACAGTTCCGGGTCAGAAGGCTGAAGGCAAGCGGACAAGGACTGCACGTCTGCTGGGTTCGATCTTGGTCGGTACATTCTGTCATGGGGCGGATGGATGAACCCAATTGCAGACAGCAAGTAACTCAAAATAAGGTTTTATTAATGACAAAAACAGAAAACAAAACCCACGATGGGGCAAAACAAGAACAGGTAGCAAACACTAAACTAAGACTCAGGCAATAAACTCACAGACAAGACTAGATAGACACTTCTTACAGATGATCAACAGAGAACTTACAGCTAGACTCACACGAGGTTTGATAAGGTAAGAAAGACAATGTACCGACACAGGACAGCAAACACAAGAGGATTAAATAGGGAGAAACTAATGAGGGAAACAGCTGACTCTAACAGGGCAATAATGACTAAACAAGGATAACAAGGGGGCGGGGTTATGAGACAAGACAACGCAAGCACACAGCCCAAACAAATGGCCATGTGCTTACACAGAAAACATGGTTCTGCCATGATCCTGCCACAAGACTAGGAAAAATCAGCGACGTGATGGCAGAATCATGACACTTACTCCCACTGGTTCTCTCTCATCAAGACCACATCAGCAAAGATCAACTGGAGCCTCAACAAATTGCATCAGGACAGTTTAATGCAAATGGACGAGACATGCAAGTATC